CTCTTCCAGCCATCCACCAGTGAGCTTTTTTTTGAAGCTCACAGACTCCAGGGATGGTTTAGAGCAGTGGTTCCCAACCTGTGGTCCGTGGACCACCAGTGGTCTGCAAGAACGAAAATTTGGTCCATGGCCTCACTGTTACTACACCATTGCAACGAGAGTGACTGGTTTCGTTAAACCCTTTTATAGTGCCGAGACTTATTAAATATGGTTTTCTGTGGGCAAGCAGATGGCAACTACTGGATGGCCTATGTTCTGTATATGAAACTTGAATATTCTTGGGCTGCATCTCAACCAGATCTATCCTCCAGACGTTTGTGGGAGTAAATGGGAAAAGGAAACCATGTGAAGTACCTGTGTATTTATTGTACTTATATCAAAGCAATCTGGCAGATCTGTGCTACTATTTCAACTCTCTTCCCCCTTCTCACTGTATATCCCTTCTATGCTCCCATTGACCCTGTAATAGCTGCTTTGATTCCCTGCTATAAGTATAATTACAGTGGATAATGGGATAAAATTCTAACAAATACAAATGTATAGATCTTATCTGAAGTACTTTGTTACTTTGGTGTAAGATCCTTTAAAACTAAGATATGATTCAAGGGGATGTACCATTCAACCAAGACAAGTAAAAGTGAAATTAGTCCTTCTGAAAGAATTTAATTTCTTTCTTTCTTTCTTTTTGGTAGAATCAGCTTTACAAAAATCTCATATCTCTCTACTACGTAAGCCTCAGCCTGTCTTCTCCAGCCTTCTTTTCCTTCTGATAACAATCAGCTGACCTTCACAAAACAATTTGCCTTTCTTAGGAAACCTAGCAAAATGAATCATATTGCCATGCCAAGTCTGCTGCAATAAAAACAACACAATGCATGACACCTGCTATGCCGTGTTGCCTTGCTTTGCCTTGCTACTTTGCATTTCCTCTTTTATTCCAAAAGCTTAATACTAGTGCATCTCTGTAATATTTGTTGTTGTTGTTGTTGTTTCGTTCAGTCGCTTCTGACTCTTTGTGACTTCATGGACCACCCCATACGAGAGCTCCCTGTCAGCCGTGGCCACCCCCAGTTCCTTCAAGGTCAAGCCAGTCACTTCAAGGATACCATCCATCTTGCCCTTGGTCACCCCCTCTTCCTTTTTCCTTCCATTTCCCCCATTTTCCCTTCCATTTCCCTGTACTATTTACTGACACCCAATACCACAGTTCTCTAAAAACAGATAAGAATTTCCCTTAAATTCCAACATTTACCTTGACACTGGGAGTCACCAGCTATCTTGATGAGTATAATTTCAGTTTTCTTCTAGGCAGGTCTGCTTGCTATAATATGTCCATCAGATGTACCACCCAAGAACTGTTTAAAAACTCAGCAACCAAGATTCCCTGGGATCCTAGCTCTAATTTCTGGCTTTCTTTATTCCGGACAGTTTGACACACATAACTTGCTTCCACAGCTTGCTTTCTTGAAACCTGTTTGAAGTTTTAAAGTGCATTCTACTGGATTTACAAAACATCTCAATTCTAATTCCCACAATGTAAATACCACCTACAAATATATAATTCCTATACAGGGTTCCAGCCATTAAAATTGCTTTATTGTTTATTTAACTTTTGTTTTAATCATTTAAAATGTTTTTAAACTCCTATTCTGAGTTGCTTTGGGTCTCATGTACAGAAAGGCTGTACATTTAAAATGACCAAACACAGTAAAAATTAGAGTGATATCCTTCTTTGGCTAATGCTTTGAGGCATTAAAGCAATCGTATTCCCCACAGTAACCTATGGATGCGAGAGCTGGGCCGCAAGGAAGGCTGCGCAAAAGAAGATAGCCACTTTTGAACTGTGGTGCTGGAGGAAAATTCTGAGAGTGCCTTGGACCCCAAGAAGATCTAACCAGTCCAGGAAATAATGCCCAACTGCTCACTGGAGGGAAGGATATTAGAAGCAAAGATGAAGTACTTTGGCCACATAATGAGAAGACAGGAAAGCTTGGAGAAGAGAATGATGCTGGGGAAAATGGAAGGAAAAAGGAAGAGGGGCTGACCATGGGTAAGATGGATGGTATCCTTGAACAGAGAGCTCAGGTGTGGGCTGATCCATGAGGATACCAAGAGTCAGAAGTGACTGAACGAATAAACAACAACATGGGGCCACTAACACTTGAAATAGGTTGGGTTGCTGCTGCTGCTGCTGCTGCGTGCCTTCAAGTCTTTCTTAACATAATGACCCAAAGGTCATAGGATTATATCATAGTTTTCTTGGCAAGCTATGTGACTTGCCCAAGGCCACACACTGGGTTTTCATGGCCTAGTAAGAATTGGAACCCTGGACTTCTTGAAACCAAGTTCAACAGTCAAACCTCTCTGGCTAATTAGTTTGGGGCCTTATCACATCTAAATCCAGTTTTGTCCTCCACTATGCTAAGAGGCCTTTGTACAATAAAGGCTCAAAGCACAAGGGCAAATTGAGAACCCCTAGCACCCGAGACTTTTGGCTTATATAAATTTTTGTCTTATTGCATATAAGACATAGTTTATTTTTTATTTTTTATTTTTAAAATAATTTTCATTTGTTTATGGTGCATACAGAAAACAAAACTGACACCAGAAGAACCCCCCAACCCCCCCCCAAAAAAACAGAAAAGAGGAAAAAAAGATATACAAAAGAGTATGCAAGTTTACAGAATGGTATACAGTCAGCGCTCATTAAACATATGAAAAATCAACTTTGACTGTACAGTTATTACACCTTAACATTTATTGTCCCTCTAACCCCACACCTGGGAACCCAACCCCCATGACCTCCGACACCACTCCGTATGGATCACATAACTAACCCACAACTACCCACATGTTTTCTTTCACTAAATCCCCTTTATGGTGATCTTCAAATCTACTTTTGTCTTCTTTTCAAGATATCCAGTTGCCAACCTCCATTTTTTTAACAAATTCTTCATTATTTCCCCCTCTGCTGCTATTTGTCAGTTTTGCTATTTGGATATAACCTCCTAATTATATCTCTCCAATCCTTAGTTAAGACATAGTTTGGAATTCCCCTTTCTTACTGGTATTCCCTTAAAACAAGTTTCACTTCCTTGAGTCCCTTATATTGTGTTAATTGGTTTATTACCTGACTGTCTTCCTAGCTGAGCATGAGGATTCTTGCTCCATCATTTGAAACATTGAAAGTCTCATTATAACAATTCATTTTAAGGGACACAAATGAAAATGCTTTGTTATTCTTTATTTGTTCAGTTGCTTCCAACTCTTTGTGACCTCATGGACCAGCCCATGCCAGAGCTCCCTGTTGGCTGTGGCAAACCCCAGCTACTTCAAAGTCAAGCCACTCACTTCAAGGACAACAACCATCCATCTTGCCCTTGGTCAGCCCCTCTTCCTTTTTCCTTCCATTTTCCCCAGTCTTCTCCAAGCTTTTGTGTCTTCTCAATATATGGCCAAAGTACGGTATATTCTGGCATATAAGACTACCTTAACCCAAGAAAATCTTCTCAAAAGTCAGGGGTCGTCTTATACACGGGGGTTGTCTTATACACGGGAGTTGTCTTATATTCAGGAGTAGCCTTATACGCTGGGAGTCGTCTTATAGAGCGGGTGCTGAAACTTCCAATCCGGATTGGAGAATCTGTGGTTGCTGCATATTGTGGGGGGAGCTCGAAAATGGCAGTGGCCACGTCCCTGCCGTATGCAGTGACTGTATGAAAGCATTAAGGGCAACACTGTACAAGTATAGTAGAAGAAAATCCATTCATCAGGATTTGTGGACTTAATGTGGTCCCGATGGTGAGGAGAAGGGGTGCCTCACCAGGAAGGTGTAAGTGAAGGGCGGAGCAAGCTGCAGGCGTCCAGGGCGCCCGGGGTATGGAAAAAAGAGATAGAGTGGCTCTGGGCCCAGAAAAACACAACTCTTTTACCTGTCTGGCCCACCCTTGTATCCTATTACCATACCACCTCCTCTTCCTCTCAGATCTCGCTCCTGAAGACTGCAGTGAAACGGTGCAGGTGCGCATGTGCGAGATCTGAGAGACAGAGAAGGAGGTACAGTAATAAGAAAATTACCATATTGAAATCAAATCTCATGCTTTTATGTTTAACTGCAACCCAGCTTTTGCACTTTCTTCTTTCACCTTGGTTATAAGTCTCCTCAGCTTCTCCTTGCTTTCAGCCATCAAAGTGGTGTCATCTGCATATCTAAGGTTGTTAATCTTTCTTCCAGCAATTTTAACTCCAGCCTTGGATTAATCAAGCCCCACACATTGCATTATGTGTTCTGCATACAAGTTGAATGGGTAGGGTGAGAGTATATAGTCCTGCCCTACTTCTTTCTCAATCTTGGACCAGTCTGTTGTTCCATGGTCAGTTCTTACTGTTGCTACTTGGTCGTTATACAGATTCCTCATGAGACTGACAAGGTGACTTGGTATCCCCATACTACCAAGATCTTGCCTCAATTGATTATGATCCACACAGTCAAAGGCTTTAGAATAGTCAATACAATGGAAATATACGTTTTTCTGAAACTCCCTACCTTCTTTCATTATCCAGCATATACTGGCAATTTGGTTTCTCATTTCTCTGCCTTTTCTGAACTCAGCTTGTGCATCTGGCAACTCTTGCTCCATGAATTTCTGGAGTCTACCTTTCAGGATATTGAGCATTACTTACTGGCATGTGAAATAAGTGGCACTGTATGAAAGTTAGAGCATTCTTTAGCATTCCCCTTTCTTTGTATGGGGATATATGTTGACCCCCCCCCCCCCAAATCTGATAGCCATTTTTGTGTTTTCCATATTTACTGGCATATGCTTGGTTCCCAGAAAACTCTGCAGGAAAGAGAAAAATCCATGGTTGCTACATAGGTTTACTTTGGATCAATTCCAGTCCAAATTCCCAGCAACAATGTCTTTTAAGGGTATGTCTGTCTGTTTAGTTTTCACCATGTTCTTACAGAATTTCCTGGTTTGCAGATGTGAGCTAGTTCAAATACATGGGCTATAAATTCTCAAGGCTGTTGCTTTTTCAGTTAGGTTTGTGCATTTAGGCTCAAAGTGTTTGGTACAATGGACCTCCCTAGCAGTGTCCTGCTTTTCCTCATCCTTTCTTGTTGCCTCTGGAATGCTGAAGCCCGAAACTATAATTCTATAATTGCAGTGCCAAATGGAGGCCCTTGGGGTAATTGGGGCGATGTTCAATTTTGTCCCCAAGGCTATGCTAATGGTTTCTCATTGAAGGTAAGTTTCTTTTCCTTTTTAGAAACTGTTCTTGTTCCTAATTTAGAATACTACTTCAACCACCATATCCAACATGACAGTTAATCAGGCATAATGGGTGTTGTTGTCCCAAATATCTGGATAGCACCAGTTTGGGAAAGTTTAATTTAATGGCAGTTCTCACTTTTGTTACTGGGATACTTCTTGGGTAGGAAACTGTCAAAGAATACCAGGTGCTCTAGGCTATATTTAAGAGGAAGGAGCTGGCAAAACTACCTCTGAGTAGTCCTTGCAACAACAAAAAAACAAAACAAAAAAAACCTTTGACATTCATGGGGTTGCCATAAGTCAACAGGCAATTGGAAAACAAAACTCCCTAGGGCAGGGTTTCTCCACCTTCCTAATGCTGCGACCCCTTAATATAGTTCCTCATGTTATGGTGACCCCCAACCATAAAATTATTTTCATTGCTACTTCATAACTATCATTTTGCTCCTGTTTTGAATCTTAATGTAAACATCTAATATGCAGCATGTATTTTCATTCACTGGACCACATTTGGCACAAATACCCAATATGCGCAAAGTTGACTACTGGTGGGGTTGGAGGGGATTGAGTTTGTCATTTGGGAGTTGTAGTTGCTGGGATTTATAGTTCACCTACCACCAAAGAGCATTCTGAACTCCACCAATGATGGAATTGAACCAAACTTGGCACACAGAACTTTCATGACCAACAGAAAATACTGGAAGGGTTTGGCAGCCATTGACCTTGAGTTTTGGAGTTGTAGTTCACCTACATCCAGAGAGCACTGTGGACTCAAGCAATGATGGATCGGGATCAAACTTGGCACAAATACTCAATATGCTCAAATGTGAACACTGGTGGAGTTTGGGGAAAATAGACTTTGACATTTGGGGATTGTAGTTGCTGGGATTTATAGTTCACCTACCATCAAAGAGCATTCTGAACCCCACCAATGATAAAATTGGGCCAAACTTCCCACACAGAACCCCCATGACCAACCGAAAATACAGTGTTTTCTGATGGTCTTTGGTGACCCCCTGACACCCCCTCGTGACCCCCCCGGGGGTCCCGACCCCCAGGTTGAGAAATGCTGCCCTACGGCAATACCCAAGCCATCCTCACTAAGCTCAATATACAGGCTCAGACAAACTCTGTCTTGGGAATCTTGATGAGACTTGAGATGTTGACCAATTGGTTAGACTCAATAAAAGCCAACTCTACATGTTGCACTGGGACACAGCAGTTAGAATGTCAGACAAGAACTGGAAAGATTTAGCTTCTGCTAGAGTTTTTATCATTTCTTAAGTAACAAGTAGTGTAAGGATCAGGGCAGCAAACAGTAAGAGTCAAACCACCTGGCTAGTATGGTGTAATTACAGCCAAGGTGAAGTAACTGCTGGGGTAATAAAGGAGCAAAAGGCTACTCCTAGTTGAGGAGTTGGAAGGTTGATGTTTACTGAAGGTTGGAGTTCTGAGGGGCTTGTGTCTTGAGGAGACTGCTGGTTAGAGTATCAAGAGGAATTGGACTACAAAACCAGCTTGCTTCAAGTAAGAAGTCTCCAGTTATCTGGAAGTATCAGGAAAAGAAGACTGGAGAAGTATTCCAGTCTTCAGCCACTGTACATGGGCTCTGTATATATATATTTGTATAAAGTCACCTGCAAAGACAAAGGTGTGAGTTTGCTCCTTGGTCAGAGGGGGAAAGCTTCAGTGACTGTTTGTGACTAATCTTCATTGCAACATTGGTTATGGGCCCTGAAGGCCAAGGACTCTAAAGCCCAGAACTCCCAAAGGGCTTCGAGGATTGTAAGGTACAGAATCCTCAAAGGTGTTTTATTAGGTGGAGGAAAGGGCCTGATCAGCATGTCTACCACTGGGAGTAGAAGTTTGTCTTTGGAGAGACTAAATGCTACAAATTATTCCGCATGGACTGTAAAGCTGATGTATTTTCTCATTAGGTGTGAATGTCGTAATTAGCAAGCTTGGACAAATAAGAATATCTATATCTGAAATGAGTTCTCACAAGTGGCAACCATTTCTGAAGATTTCCTCCAAATTTTCTTAGCATTTAAAAATATAGTTTCATTTTTTAGAAAATACATAAAGGCATGGGTAAAGGTTTTCCCTGACATTAAGTCTAGTCGTGTCTGACTCTGGGGTGTGGTGCTCATCTCCATTTCTAAGCCGAAGAGCCAGCATTGTCCATAGACACCTCCTAGGTCATGTGGCCAGCATGACTGCATGGAGCGCTGTTACCTTCCCACTGGAGCAGTACCTATTCATCGACTCACATTTGCATGTTTTCAAGCTGCTAGGTTGACAGAAGCTGGGGCTGACAGCGGAAGATCACGCCGCTCCCCGGAATTGAACCTGAGACCTTTCGGTCAACAAGCTCAGCAGCTCAGGGCTTTAACCCACTGCGCCACCGGGGGCTCCACATAAAGGCATAGAAATCCCTATACTGAAATTTGGCTGGTGTAGACTCTTCTTAAGTCCTATAACATTGGCCAACTTTATCCAATATTAAAGAGAGGCCAAAATTGATAGCTACATTCAGATTTCCCAGGATAATCAATGGAAGACATAACCTTCAGATGTCCAAATCATGGCATAACATAAGAACTTGACATTGGGTACAATTCAACACAAATACAGAGGGTCCAACCTTTTCTTATTGCAGGTGAAAAGAATAGTCCTTAAAATCCATGACCCTAAGTGCTAAATTAGACTTAGGCCAAATCTAGAGCTTCTTTCACATTTTAACATGCATTCCAGTGAGATTGTACATGGCTAGCTTGGCCCCAGTCCAAATTAGTACTTTTGCACATGGACAAATATGAACTGTGTTGCAATTCTAGATTTATCCACTCTTCATCTTTTCATCCACCAGGTGGAACGCCACCAAGGTCGAGGGGATGACACGGCCCTGAACGGAATACGCCTACATTGCACTAATGGAGCATTAATAGAGTCTAAAGTTGGACCGTGAGCATTTATCAGCTTGTTTGCTTATGCTTCACTTCTGCTTTCCTTTGGCATTATTGTTTGAAAAATGATGATCAGAAAGCTTAGGATAAAATATTTTCTCTTATATGAATTTCTCTTGTCTAAGGGTAGATTTCTCTCATTTCCTGTTTTCTCACACTTGTTTGTAACTATGAGTCATTTGTAAATTGGATGTTTGAAACTTGGGGACTGCTTCTAATTGACATCTTGCACAATGACATCAGCAAAAAACATCTTTTTGTCTTAGGATTTGAACAGAACCTTTAGGGCCTTGAAAGATCCTGAACTGGTAACCCTGCAGAGGATTGCCCATAGCCCTGAAGCGGGCCAATAATCTTTCAAGTATCAAGTTTCCAAACTGCTTAGGACTTTATCACCAGCACCTTGAAATTGGACTGGAAAATTATTAGTAACCAATAAAGACTGGTACATTTTGAGTAAGTTAATGTCATTTGTTTTCTTTGGCAGGTGGGGAGATTGGACAGGAATTCAGTATTGTCCCCAAGGCAATCTGGTCTCTTTCTCAATGAGAGTGGAAGGACAACAAGGGAAAGGTGATGATACGGCAGCCAACAATGCCCAGTTCACCTGTGAAGATGGGACTCCACTTACTGGACATGGAGAAGGCTGGGGTCAGTTTGGCCCATGGAGCCCTCGCTGTCCTTATCCTTATGACTCCATCTGTGGAATCCAGACAAGGGTGGAGAATCCCCAAGGGAAGGGTGATGACACGGCCCTTAATGATGTGAAGTTCTTCTGCTGTTCTTCTTAATGATGTGAAGTGCTTCTCTTCCAAGACATGTTAGTTTTCCCATGAATAATTAACCAGAAATGTTAAGCATTCATTTGTTTTCACTTCAGTAAAGTGTACATTTCTCTTTGGGTCCATTCCACTCTACCAATTTCTAACTTTGTTACTCTGTGTTAACTGCAATGGTTCCATCCTATGGAATTCTGGGACTGATAGTTTTTGACAACTACATTTAGAATTCTTCACCAGAGCACTCCAGAGACAAACCAAAACCCCTAGAATTACATAGGATGGAACCATTGTAGTTTACATGGAATAACACCAGTATAAACACATAGTATGGATGACCTATATGTTTCTATGTTGATCTGAATTGGTCTTCTCTGTTTATGTTCCCTGTAGATGAAATGCAATTAAAACATTTTATGGACTACTTGAGTAGTGTGGGAGCCAGCATGGTGCAGTGGTTTGAACGTTGGCTAATGTGATGATTGCCGTTAGCAATTAGAGTCACTCACAAGGAAATCTTAGAAATTTCTTTGATACTCGGTTGCTACTATACAACAAAATGAAGAAAACGTGGGCAACTTTTCAGTTCAATAAAACCCCAAAGCCCCACCCCATAAATCCCCAAAATTCCTCCATATAGTCTCCAGGTCTTCTAGTCTGATCCAGTTTGTCTTATCAGGCTTTTTTTCATGCAGAGCTCGAGATGTTTTCACTCTGTTTTCATTTCTTAACCTTGGCTGTGAACTCATGACATGGAGGTGTTATGGTGTCTTGAACACACCGGACACAGAGTCCATGACAGATTAGGTCTTTGGAGATCAGAGGGTGAAATTCTGTTTGTCCATGGAAACCCAGTGGGCAACGTTAAGCAAATCACACTCAGCCTCAGAGAAGGGCAATGGAATATCCTCTTTAAACTTGAGTTGACTTGTTTGTGCATCTAATGGTTGCCGATTGTGAGGCTGCCCTGAGGGTGTGTGTGAGAAGAATGGGATACAAATGTATGAGTAAATAATGAAAGAAATAAACAAATCCTGCCAAGAAAACCTCCTGATATGTTTGCCTTATGGCTGCCATATATAAAAAAGACTTGAAGGCATACAACAACATTGAATACTGTGAACCGCATATCTCTGTTGATGTGAATTACTTTACACTACATGTGCAGGGATGAAAGGAAATAAAAATATTAAAGAAACATCTATGGAAATGAGGATACAGAATGGGGGACGCCTGGCTCGGCACCAATACGTGTGAAAAAGATCTTGGAGTCCTTGTGGACTAGAAGTTAAACATGAGCCGACAATGTGATGTGGTGGCTAAAAAAGCCAATGGGATTTTGGCCTGCATAAATAGGAATATAGTGCTTAGATCCAGGGAAGTCATGCTACTCTTCTATTCTGCCTTGGTCAGACCACACCTGGAATACTGTGTCCAATTCTGGACACTGCAAGGGAGTTGTTGACAAGCTGGAATGTGACCAGAGGAGGGTGACTAAAACTATCAAGGGTCTGGAGGACAAGCCCTATGAGGAACAGCTGAAAGAACTGGGCATGTTGATCCTGCAGAAGAGAAGGCTGAGAGGAGACATGATAGCTATGTGAGGGGAAGTCACAGGGAGGAGGGAGCAAGTTTGTTTTCTCATGCCCTGGAGACTAGGATGTGGAACAATGGCTTCAAACTATAGGAAAGGAGATTCCACATGAATATTAGGAAGAACTTCCTGACTGTGAGAGTTGTTCAGCAGTGGAACTCTCTGCCCTGAAAGATGGTGGAGGCTCCTTCTTTGGAGGCTTTGTAACAGAGACTGGATGGCCATTTTGGGGGTGCTTTGAATCTGATTTTCCTACTTCTTGGCATGGGGTTCGACTGGATGGCCCATGAGGTCTCTTCCAACTCTATGATTCTAAGTCATGTAGGCTGATTAATGAGTATGGAAACATTTTGCTGAATCATGTTCTAACTTTTGACATCAGTCTTTCCCCATTATTGGCCTCTCTATATAGAACTCAAAGAATGTGTGTGCCTTGATCTGATTTACTTTACTCTGCCATATCAGTTATGTGAGAAGGGGAATAAACACATTAAAGGAAGACCAATGGGATATAACTGCAGGAGTGGTTTAACATAGAGGCATTTTACTGAATGATATAAATTTCAAATGAGACTATTTCACTTTTAGAAATGTAGATTGTATATCATATTTTGATTATGCAATTTTAGCATTTTGGTTATGATTATTTCAGTTCAGAGGGTAGATTTGCTCAGAAATGTGCCCATGCTAAAACAGTCCATGGGAATATATCCTCTCTTTGTTCTAAATAACAAAACATTTTATTTCCAGTTTAAACAGTTTAAAAATCCAAATATGGGATTTTTTTTCATGTCAGGAGCAACTTGAGAAACTGCAAGTCGCTTCTGGTGTGAGAGAATTGGCTGTTTGCAAGGATGTTGCCCAGGGGGTGCTCGAGTGTTTTGATGATTTATCATCCTTGTGGGAATCTTCTCTCATATCCCCACATGGGGAGCTGAAGCTGATAGAAGGAACACATCTCTGCTCTCCCCAGATTCGAACCTCTGACCTGTCGGTCTTCAGTCCTACTGCCACAAGGGTTTAATCTACTGCGCTACCGGGGGCTCCTGCCAAATATAGATTAATCCTACATGCAAGCTATTGTCTTAGCCATTATAGAATGTGCTTAAATATTTAGAAATGATCAAGGGACAAAAACACACACTAATTAATTTTCCTTGTGCCAAAGTTTCAAAGTAAGGCCTTCAAAAGTGGTATATCATTTTTAATTAGCTAGCTATAGGAGTAACAAATGTTGTCCTGCCATAATAGGAACAGTTGGTGTTGACCGAACTCATTCTGGGGGAAGTTGTTTTTCTCAAAATATTTCTTAGTGTAATATACTCTTTCTTTATAGAGGAATCCAAGCCACAAGACAACCAAGTAAAAAACTGATTAGAATGCTATAATATTGTAATGTCTAACCAGTTTGCTACATCCCCCATACTCATGTGATTAGTATCCAGAGTTTCACTACCTCATCTTCTCCAAAAATGTTCTATGTCATTGTTTCTCAACCATCCTGATGCTGCAACCCCCTTAATATAGTTTCTCATGTTGAAGTGACCTCCCAACCATAAAATTATTTTTGTTGCTCCTTCATAACTGTAATTTTGCTACTGTTATGAATTGAAATGTAAATATCTAATATGCAGGATGTATTTTCATTCACTGGACCAAATTTGGCACAAATACCCATATGCCCATATTTGAATACTGGTGGGCTTGTGGCGGATTGATTTTGTTCATTTGGGAGTTGTAGTTGCTGGATTTATAGTTCACCTACAATCAAAGAGCATTCTGAACCCCAGCAATGATAGAATTAGGCCAGACTTCCCACACAGATCCTCCATGACCAACAGAAAATACTGGAAGGGTTTGGTGGTCATTGACCTTGAGTTTTGGAGTTGTAGTTTACCTACATCCAGAAAGCACTGTGGACTCAAACAATGATGGATCTGGACCAAACTTGGCACAAATACTTGATATGCCCACATGTGAACACTGGTGGAGTTTGGGGAAAATAGACCTTGTCATTTGGAATTTACTGATGGGATTTATAGTTCACCTACAATCAAAGAGCATTCTGAACCTCACCAATTATAGAATTGGGCCAAACTTTCCACACAGAACCCCCATGACCAATAGAAAATATTGGAGGGATTTGAGATGAATTGACAGTGATTTGGATAGATGTAGTTCAGTAACATCGGGAGAACACTATGAACCCAAACAACTATGCCAAAGGGATTCCTAAGACCATCAGAAATATGTGTTTTCTGATGGTCTTTGGTGATCCCCTTCAAACCCCCTCATGATCTCCCCCCAGGGGTCCTGACCACCAGGTTGAGAAACATTGTTCTTTCATGCAATTCTATGACATGCTTCTGCTGATATTTATACTAGAATTACCCTGGAAGACTTAACACATTGCTAGAAAGGATACTTCTCTAGGAATTTTCTAACCCAGCCCCCCCCCCCCCCTTTCCAGGATGAAGTCATTCATTTCATTAGAGTTTGCTATTATCCATAGTTCCTGTTTCCATGATAAGTTCAGAAATGCCCTGGACTTGGGCATTGTACTGTATACTGGTATAGCCCTGGCCACAGAAAATATTTTGAAAAAGCTGTTGTCTTCTAAACACATAAGAAAAACTCAAATGTATTTGAACATCTCTAGGAAGCCATAGGTTGGAGCCATACAGAATTAGGCTTAGTTTTTATTACTGTACGATACAAACCATTTATTTGCTTCCAAAGAGGCTGCTGCAGTTCTGAACCAGTGCCTGGGGACAGTGAGATGTCACAAGTGGTCACACCAACGAAGTTCAGTGTAGACAAAATATGTATGATTTTAATTTGTAGGCAAAATAAACTTTTGGGAACTGACAATTCCACCTTTTCGGGATGGATCTGGTGTGCAATTTGGGAATGCTCCTGGATCTGATGTGTTCCCAGGTTGCCTGCCTTTGTGAGATGCTTTCTATTGACAGCAGAATGATTCATACTTTCATCATCTCAAGCTTAGATAACTTTAATATGTTCTAAGTGGTGCTGTGCTTGATGTACATTTTGAAACCATGTGTGGTGCAAAATACATGCAGATTGTTAGTTCACAGTTGTAATGTTAAATCATTAAGAAAATTACACGTGTTGGTTGTTAATGTTGAAATTAAACATGTTGGCTATTATTATTAAAATGTTAAGGGATTTTTAAAAGAAATTAATTTTTTAATCATTATTACATTATATTTGAAAACTTATTACATTATTTTTAAAAACTAAAACCTAATCAACAAATTACTCCCACAAGTAACATAATGCGAAACATAAATTGCTATTCTAAAAATTTCACATGGTTGACATAAAAATGTAAAATAATTGATTTTGATCATTTTAATGAATCAAGGGCAGTGAATTATTTTCTAACAAATTATTCAAAGGCTTTTCAACAGTCTTGAAACAGCTATAATAGCTTTCAGTTTGTTTCCAAGACCAACTCTTTTCTATAAAGCTCAGAATGGCTTAAGGCCAAGATCGATGAAGGGCTGCATCCCTCCTATGAATTGCTAGGACATTTTGATTAGACAACTATTACAGATAGGAGAGATAACCGACAAAGCATCTGACAAAGACAGATAAAGCTGACCACATAACAATCGGGGAGATCAGATCAACACCCAAGCCACTACACCATGCTGGTTCTCACATATTGATGAAAAGATGGTCAGTTCTTGGGAGGAAAATGCTTCTGGTTTAGTCGCAGCAGAAGAACTTTACTTCATTAAGGGTCGTGTCATCATCATCCCCTTGGGGATCCTCCACCTTTGTCTGGATTCCACAGATGGAGCCTTGAGGGCAGCGAGGGCTCCATGGGCCAAACTGACCCCAGGGTCCTCCGTTCCCGATGAGTGCAGTACCATCTTCACAGGTGAACTGGATGTTATTGGCTGCTGTATCATCACCTCTTCCTTTGATTCCTTCCACTTGCATAGAGTAAGCGACCAGATTGCCTTGGGGGCAATATTGAATCCCGGTCCAAACTCCCCACCTGCCAAGGAAAACAAATGAATTCTAAACAAACAAATCTAAGTTTTAAATGGTTTAGAGCAGTGTTTCCTAACCTGTGGACCACAGACCACCAGTGAGCCACGAGGATGAAAATGTGCTCCTTCCATTTTATTTTATTTATTTTATTTTATTGTATTTTATTTATTTCTGCTCCTGTAATAAGAAATTCAGTGTGCAGATCTGATAAATGTGAATTTAATATGATGTGAGGGAATGAACGGAAGAATGGAAGATGAATGTATGGATGGAGCTAATAATTTTGGAAACACCAATATAATATTAAGGCTTGCAATGACTAACTACCTGCTTGCTGGACTGCAATTAAAAACTGCTAATGAGAAATAAAAAATAAACTCTGATAAGAATTGGGACAGCAATACAAGAAATGTTTACAATGTGTTAAGAAGGAAGTCAACACAAGCCTTGTGTTTGTCAACACCAATCAAGAAGAATCAACATCTGGCCAGGAAACTGAAATGGATCCAGGATGGAAGAAGTCTATCATTAATTTACAACTTTGGGATTACATCAGCAGAATATTCCTATAAAAGATTCAATCTAATAATGCTCAAAGTGTGGCAGACCTGAGAAGTCTGTTCTATCCGCTATGCTCTGCTCCATGGGAAGGAGAGAGATAGTGTACCTATGGAGAGTGGCAGATTTGCACGGGAGCAGTCTGGTCACTTTGGGGATTCCTTCTGAAGGGAAGAAGAAGAAGTGTGCTTTTGGAGTCTTAGATTTTCTGCAGGGAGTCAGGTTCTGCTGTATGGAAAACAGAGATCTGGTCCTTGGCATTGTGCTTAGGGAAGAAGTTTTGGCTTTTTTAAAGTTATGGAAGTTTTGGAACTATATGTTGGCAGGTTGCAGGGAAGCAGGGTTTGGCCTAACAGGTGCTTCTCCAAGGAGGAAGAAAATGATATGGTAATATTTGAATGCCTGAGGATGAATGTGTATACATGTGGTGTGAATGTTGAGTGAAAATGTAATTCCCCTTTGTTTGTTTGTTCCAATGTAGTTGCATAGCATCTGTATGTCTCTGTGTCCAATGTCATTCTTTGTCTAAACATTTTTCTGTAATCTGAAACACCCTCTAACACTGGAAATTGCAATAAAAAGAACCTATGCTTTAAAGTCATTGAAAAGTCATTCATGACACTCCTTTCGCCTGCCATTCCTTCCGTGTCGCTGACCGTAACATATGTTCTCTATCAGAAACTAAAGCTGATGTGGTTTATCCAATGTCATTCCTTCCGTGTCATTCAAGGCCCCAAAGATCCTGTTCCAAGCCTGAGAAAAAGGGAAGGCTTTTGTGAATGTACTAAGTGTTGGTTGCAGCCTATCATTCAAATGCATACAGAAATAATATCTTCACCTGCTTGGAAATTAAGACAGTAATCTCACCTTAAATGTCTGTTACCGGAGCAAAGTGTAAGTTACTTACACAGCTGAGATCACATTCCAACAATATTTGGAGGGCTTTATGTTTCCCTACCCTGACTTACAATTTCAAATTGAAATTGTATATGTTTATATCTCTTTTTAATTATTTATGCTATTAATCTAGAAGTATTTTACTCGTATTGCATGCCATCTTGAGATACTATAATACAAAATGCATACAGAAGTGTTTTTATAAATAACAAGTAATCGTACTGTCTTCATTACATGGGTCAGTACTTTACTTGTATCTTTTCATTGTTCCTTGCTTTTGACGTCTGGAATGGGTTCTTTCAGGGCCAAAAGATGGGCAAAAACCCTTTGTCTTTTCCCCACATTGCCTTTTCTTTGGTCCTTTTCCTCTGAGTACAAAATAAGACCAGCCATATACATTTGTCTGCCTGTGTCAAATTACCCCATAAGACAAAACATCTTGTAAGCAGTTTCTTGCTCCCTGACAGTAAACATGTAGCAATACATTAGGTGTCCCACAATTTTCTACCATTTCATGGCTTTCCAGATTGGCATTATTTATACACTTTCACAGCTTGTGTTTTCTTTATTATTAATGGTTTTTTTCCCCCAGACTGACTGCATTATGATAAGGTTTGGTCATCTGTGTCTTTGTTTTTTCTGTGTATTTGAAATACTGGAAGGTATGAAATAAATAATTTTTGCTTTGTCTTTCCGATCATCACCTTCCAAACAATAATGCCAAAGAAGAAGAGGAAGTGAAGCATAGGCAAACAAAATGATAAATACTCACGCTCCAACTTTAGACTCTATTGTTGATCCATCAGAACAATGTAGACGTATTCCATTCAAGGCTGTATCATCCCCTCTACCTTGACTGGGTTCCACCTGGTGGAGAAAAACAGAGACTTTTGTAAAACTGGATAAATCTAGAACTGCCACACTGCATATTTTTCCACGAGTAAAGGATACTGTGTGGAATTGAAACCAAAGACAGTTCTGCACAGACTCTGTGCTCCAGTTTAGAAGTGGATAAACATTATTTTAAACTGCATCAATCAGAGTGTAGTGTCGAGATTGAAGGAAGTCATAGTCCTACTCTATTCATCTTTGGCCAGAGGGACCGTGGCCACCAGAAAATACAGGTGGTTTTCTTCACCAGTTCACTGAGTTACATCAATGCATGGCAGACAATCAAAGTATATCCAGTTTTGAGCCCTGCATAGGTTACACTCTGATCAGATGCAATTCATTATCTGACTTCTTCGGGACTTTCTGGTGATGTTTTTTAATGAACTGTTTTTGACTTATTGTATGCTTCAGCATGCATTGGAGATATAGGTTTTCTAAGCAGAGATACCCCAAAAAAAAAACCCACACATACACACAAACACACACAGTGGCTCACTGTACCTTTCCTTCCCCGACACAATTTTGTTAAAAGCAACACCTTCTCTTTCACAGTTGCATGGGCTTTCTCAGTACCTAATGTGAGATCTGTGCCATTAGATTAAACTTTCCTAACCTGGTGCTCTCCAGATATCTGGGACCACAACATCCATGATGCATGATTGACTGTCATGTTGGCTAGGGTGGTTGAGATTGTATTCTAAATTACCTGGAGGCACCATTACAGTGTCTGAAAATGAAAAGGGACTTACCTTCAGTGAGAAACCTTTGGCATAGCCTTGGGGGCAAAAATGAATGTCTCCCCATATACCCCAAGGACCTCCATTTGGCACCACAATAACAGAATTATAGGCTCGGGCATCTGCATCCCAGAGGCAATAGGAAAGGATCAGGCAGAGCAGAGTGCTGATAGAGAAGTCCATTGCACCAAATACTTTCGAGTCTAGATGGAGAAAGCTAACTGAAAAGCAACAGCATTGAGAATTTATAGCCCAGGTGTTTCAGCTGACTCACATATGCAAACTAGGAATTTTTTTTAAAAAAGAATGTGAAATATTAAAATTCCTAGGGCCATGCTCTAAGGGAAAATTGCTTCAATGAGATATTCAGTTTTCCAAATGATGGAGCAAGAATCTTTATTCTAGGTTAGAAGTTAAGTTGGGTAATAAACCAATGACATGAATTACCACAATATAAGTGATGCATGGGGTGAAACAGGAACCAAGCAAATAATGGGTAAAAAGGGGAACTCCAAATTTTGTCAGAAATCCTTGCATGAATCCTCACAAACCACCTTCTACCTGTTTCAGAAGAAATCCTCCCCATCGTAAGACACTTGAGCTGCTTTTCAAGCATGGAGAGGCATGGAGTCCATCACATAATGTGTAAGCACTTCCGGTGATCATGCATAGCTCCCTGCCCTTGACATGTATTTATTATTATTTATTTATTTGCGATATTTGTATACCACCCTTCTCAACCCTGAAGGGGATTCAGAGCAGTTCACAGTGTTGGCAACAATTCAATGCCTTTGATAAAAAATGCCAGAGCTCCCTGTCGGCCGTCACCAACCCCAGCTCCTTCAAGGTCAGTCCAGTCACTTCAAGGATGCCATCCATCCATCTTGCCCTTGGTCGGCCCCTCTTCCTTTTGCCTTCCACTTTCCCCAGCATAATTGTCTTCTCTAGGCTTTCCTGTCTCCTCATGATGTGGCCAAAGTACTTCAACTTTGTCTCTAGTATCCTTCCCTCCAATGAGCAGCCGGGCTTTATTTCCTGGAGGATGGACTGGTTGGATCTTCTCGCAGTCCAAGGCACTCTCAGAACTTTCCTCCAACACCACAGTTCAAAAACATCTATCTTCCTTCGCTCAGCCTTCCCTAAGGTCCAGCTCTCACATCCGTAGGTACAGGGAATACCATGGCTTTGACTATGCGGATCTTTGTTGCCAGTGTGATGTCTCTACTCTTTACTATTTTATCGAGACTGGACATTGCTCTCCTCCCAAGAAGTAAGCGTCTTCTGATTTCCTGTCCACAGTCTGCATCTGCAGTAATCTTTGCGCCTAGAAATACAAAGTCTGTCACGGCCTCCACATTTTCTCCCTCTATTTTGCAATACCTTTGATAAAAAACAGTATAAAACATCAAAATTGACCCTCCCCTGATAAAACATTTGAACATTAATCATCCCACGAGGAGGAAACTCTGAACCCAGAAAACAATCTAATTCATGTCAATACCCTTTCAACCTCTTGTCTGTGTTGTCAAAGGCTTTCATGGCTGGAATCACTGGGTTGCTGTGAATTTTCCAGGCTGTATGACCAAGTTCCAGAAGCATTCTCTCCTGACATTTCACCCACATCTATGGCAGGCATCCTCAGAGTTGTGAGACCTCACAACCTCTGAGGTTGCCTGCCATAGATGTGGGTGAAACATCAGGAGAGAATGCTTCTGGAACATGGCCATAAGCCCGAAAAACCTACAGCAACCCAAACTCATGTCTAGTTTGACCATTATTTGAGATGAGGAGATAACCTGCTGATCTATCTTAAAACTATGCCACGTAGTACTCAGGAAGAAGAAATTTTATGACAGACTGGCTGGAGTGGGAAACTAGGCACAGGAGAAACAGGCAGGAAAGAGCTGGTTGGAGTGGAGAGAATGAAAAATGTGCATGCACACACATGAAGAACAAGAAAAGAAAGAAACAGAAGAAGTGATAAACAGTAAGGTTGATTGTAGATGGGTATATGAGTCCTTTAAACACTTCCCGGATATTTTTATTTGTGTGTTTTTCTCCAAAACCAAATAGACAATATAATAATAATTTATGTGTGTTCGAGGCCAATATTCTAAGAGCGCCTGCAGTAAAAGCCTCCGAGGTTTAATTTTGGATCAGATCCATCTGGACTGCTAAATCCAGCATCTTTTGCAGAGACCCAAGCTGCAAAGCAGTCACTCTCATCTAAAGTAATTGTTAACATCCCTGTTTTTATGTCTACTGAAAACCAATTTGGCACATAGACCATTTGGAACATTTTCTTAATTTCTTCTTCAAAGTCCACCTTCCCTACGAGATTGGGTGTGTTCAGGGTGGTATGGCCGTAGGCGAAAGTCCACCTTCCCAAGGTCTTCTACTTACATGCCTTCAACACATCCCAGTATGCCACATTGTTGTTCGTGTCTTTGATTAATATGTGTCTTTTGTCATTGAGAATGTGGCACTGAATAATACTAGCACCCCCTTTAATCACTTGGTCCGGCTGTGTGCAAAGGGGTGTGATAGGATTGTTACAGTCATTGTCGTAGTCACCTGAAGCTCTGAAGTTGTGAACTCCCTTCAAAGTCCATTTATTCACAGAAGACTTAGTTGTTGCAACCCAAAGAGCTGGAGGAGGATCCACTGATCGATCTAACTACATCTTAAGAACTGGTGCCTTTTCTTCACAAATCAGCACTTGGATATCTGGGTTGTGTAAATCTGTACAATATATCTTTCTGTCTCTTCCACCTGAATAAATGTGAGTGAAGGCTTCATTGACTTGCAGTGCCCATACACCTTCATCATGGACTCTGTACGTAGCTATACACCTTTGCTGACCAAGCGACCAGAGTCTGATAGTGCCATCAGAGCTGCCAGAAGTGCCATCTCTGTTCAAGAGCAAAGCTTTAACGTTGTCAGTGTGTCCCTTCAGTTTCATAAGCTTTGCACAAGTTCTTGGATCCCACACCCTTAAAACCTTTTTAGTGGACCCTGATACAATTACTTTTCCCATCTGATTCATGGCAAGACTGTAGATAGAATCTTTGTTTCCACTGAGGGAAGAAGTTGTGACAGTGTTATTTGAGGCAATCAGTGCTGTTAATGTATTTACATCCCAGAGGAATATCTGTCTGTCCAACCCAGCTGATGCTACTAATTCTTTATCTTTTGCATATGCTAAGGCTTTCACATAATCCTTATGGGTCCTTAGCGTTGACATGCAAAATCCTTTATGCGCATTCCATACTTTAACAGTAGTGTCAAATGAAGCAGATATTAAGGTTTTGCCATTACAACAGAGTACAATGTCATTCACCCAGTCTGTATGATGTTCCATAGAAGCTATATAGGGGGCTTGCTTGTGCTGGTTGACACTCCATATCCTGATGATGGAGTCTCAGCCTGTGTAAAAAGTCTATTTAATGCTGGGTCCAGCTGCAGTGCATTTACTCCATTCCGATTATACATCTCCATCTCATTTGTAATTACATAGGAGACCTGTACTTTCTGCCGCCTGGCTGTGTTCTGTCTGTGATGAGCCATCATCTTGCATGTTGACACTCTGTCATCATGTCCGGGTGGGGGGAGAGGCATCTGCTGGCCCGGAAGGTCCGCCCCAGGTTTGTCTGGCTCTGCATGTCAAGGGCTTCCCTTCTGTTCCTCCAACAGACAATATAACCTTTTGAGAACTGAGATTTCAATATTTTTCTGGTTAGAACTGGTGTACAACCCGAGAGTGCTCCTAGATCTGATGTGCTCCCTAATTAATATGTGGTCAGCTTTGTCTTCCTTCAGTTCTTTCTACTGAAGGCAGAGTAATTTTTCTTTTAATAATGAACAATGAGTTTCTTATGTACTTGAATTATAGCTAGTGGTTGCACTTGCAGGCCCATGCCTGGCATACCCAGTAATTAGACAACCAGTTGTGTCTTTTGTAGAGGTTGCTTTATTGGTTCACTGGGCTGTAAAGCCTGAAGGCACAGAGGCAAATTGAGAGCCCCTAACTTCAGAGCATTATAGCTTATATGCTTTTTAAAATCTTCATCATGGGCAATCACTCGTGGCTGAGTATGCATTCCAAGGGTAGAGTCTTGGTGGTGAAGACTTGGTGGTGACTGTAAAGCCCTATTCTGGACCCACCTGGTCCTTCACATTGAGGACATGATTTTCCAGATGGAAAGCAGTCACAATTGGCTTGATGGGGCTTCCTCTTGGCATGTTTCTTCCTTTCAACCTGTATTTGTGCCCCTTCAAAATCCATAGCACTACTGGTAACAGTTGACCTTCAGTTACAATGCTCAAGTGCCAAGGCTTCAAGTTCTTGGTGTTTATATCAAAAAATTCTGGGTTATATGGTTGTGTGGAAGGGCCCTGAGTCACTAGAGAGAGAAAAAATAACATGTGAACTAGCCTGTGAAGATCATCAAAAAACCAGCAAAGCAAGGGAAAGTTGGCATAGTTTAAATGACTATTTATTTTCAGGGATGTGACCGATTATTATTTGGCAAAATTAAAGCATTTTGTAAAAAAATATATATCAAAAATGTAGGAAGAACAGGGGAAATCAACAGGGCAGCACTTCCGGTATTTGCACCATAGGAGGCTATCAAACAGCACACAGTCAAAGGTGATTTCAGTTTCAAATGTCACTCTGAAACTACACTAAAATGGATCTGGATAATTTACAACATCTCAGTGCAACATTGCAAACATTTTTTTGTAAAAGGAAGGGAAATATTTTGAGTCAAGGAAGTTGCACGATACTATCAGGGCAAAGAAAAGGTCAATATTTATCACTTATAACTTTGATTGGATCAGTCCCAGTCCACATACTCAGCAATTTTGAATGACTTTTACAGGAATCTCATAGTTGCTTATCAAATTAGCCCCCATTGAAACAGAATGTATTTTAAAGCAAATTCTATTTCTATGTGTTGATTTCAGGAATGTTTATTTTTTTTTACAAAATCCCTGTTTCCAGGTGTCTCAGCTCAAAAACATCTGGGCTATATATTCTCAAGCTGGTGAACCTCTAATACAAATCTGCATCTATGCACAGAGCTGTAATGGACTTGCCCATTAACACTGTCATTTTCTTGACCCTTTCCTGCTGCCTTTGGGATGCAGATGCCCAAATAGTCAATTTTATTCTCACTGTACCAGATGGAGGAACTTGGGGTGACTG